ATACATTTGCTGTTTAACGAGAGAATGAATTTTTTAATCAGAGATTCAATTTGACATTCTAAACATAGATGTCAAGTGAAATAACTAGTTTCATCCTTCTAGCAGCAGTATGGAAATACTTCTTCTTCAAATTGTCCCTTTCAATCAGGTGCCAAGAAATTGAGAAGCTTATCGGTAGCCTTGTTAGCCATCAGAAAAGAAATTTTGCCAAGTCGTTCCTATAAGTGTAAAGCACTTGCCATGACACACTTGAAAATATTAGGTGAGAGAGTCTCCTCCACCTGAGACTGACATGCTTGGTCCGTGGCTCCATAGCTGTGGTTGTACGCAGACACAAATGATTTTGAACTCACTGGTGCTACTGCAGTGATCCAAGCAAAAGATGCTTATGCAAAAGTTGTAACAGATTTGAGATCTATTTGGGTGGTAGAATTGATAGGACTTAAGCTGGATAGTAATGTGTGCAGGGGATGTGGGTGGGAGATCAAGGAACTCTTTTTCTGGTATGAATAATAGTATAGATAGATATATATCTTTTACCAAGAGGGACCAAGACTGGAGGAGGAGCAGATTTGGAAGTGGTGGTGGGGGATGGAGAGTTACTAGTTTGAGATATTTTAAGCTTGAGATACCTGAGACATCTCAGTGGAGATGTCAAGTAAGTAATGGAATATCCAGGTCAAGCTCCAAAGAGAAGTGTGAGTCAGATAATAAATTTGGAGTTGTCAGTGTTTAGATGACATTCAAAGCCACCAGACTGGGTAAGATTGCTCCAGAATAATTGGAAAGCATTAAAGAAGGCCCAGGATCTCTGCATAGGAAACTTGTCCTACCCTATTTTTACTAGACTAATTTCTCAAGTATTTAGATGTCTCTGCTTAATTTTTTCAAAAGACTTTTCTTGACCCCATAGTCTAAGTTAGGCACCCTGACCCCACAATATGTCCTCAACCTTTTTCTTCCAAGTATTTATCATAATTTGCAATGAATTAGTTGTCTTTATTTATTTTGTATTTGTCTTTCCATTTGAAAGTACGTTTCCTGAAGACAGAGGCCATTTGCTTTTAATGTATCCCCCACGCCTGGCATGTAATAAATAGTAAGTTAAGTGTTAAGAAATGAATGGAAGTTAGGAATAAACCTAACCAAAGAGGCTAATAATCGATACTCATAAAACTATTATAAAGTACTCATGAAAGAAATTGAGGAAGACACAAAGAAATGGAAAAATGTTCCATGCTCCTGGATTGGAAGAATAAATATTGTGAAAATGTCTATGCTACCTAAAGCAATCTACACATTTAATGCAATTCCTATCAAAGTACCATCCATTTTTTTCAAAGAAATGGAACAAATAATCCTAAAAATTTATATGGAACCAGAAAAAACCTCAAATAGCCAAAGGAATATTGAAAAAGAAAGCCAAAGTTGGTGGCATCACAATTCTGGACTTCAAGCTCTATTACAAAGCTGTCATCATCAAGACAGCATGGTACTGGCACAAAAACAGACACCTAGATCAACGGAACAGAATAGAGAGCCCAGAAATAGACCCTCAACTCTATGGTCAACTAATCTTTGACAAAGCAGGAAAGAATGTCCAATGGAAAAAAGACAGTCTCTTCAATAAATGGTGTTGGGAAAATTGGACAGCCACTTGCAGAAAAATGAAATTGGACCACTCAACACCCAAAGAACAAATAATCCAATCAAGAAATGGACAGAAGACATGAACAGACATTTCTGCAAAGAAGACATCCAGATGGCCAACAGACACATGAAAAAGTGCTCCACATCACTCGGCATCAGGGAAATGCAAATCAAAACCACAATGAGATATCACCTCACACCAGTCAGAATGGCTAAAATTAACAAGTCAGGAAATGACAGATGCTGGCGAGAATGCGGAGAAAGGGGAACCCTCCTACACTGTTGGTGGGAATGCAAGCTGGTGCAACCACTCTGGAAAACAGCATGGAGGTTCCTCAAAATGTGGAAAATAGAACTACCCTATGACCCAGCGATTGCACTACTGGGTATTTACCCTAAAGATACAAACGTAGTGATCCGAAGGGGCACGTGCACCCGAATGTTTATAGCAGCAATGTCCACAATAGCCAAACTATGGAAAGAACCTAGATGTCCTTCAACAGATGAATGGATAAAGATGTGGTATATATACACAATGGAATACTATGCAGCCATCAAAAGGAATGAAATCTTGCCATTTGCGACGACGTGGATGGAACTAGAGGGTTTCATGCTTAGCGAAATAAGTCAATGGGAGAAAGACAACTATCATATGATCTCCCTGATATGAGGAAGTGGAGATGCAACATGAGGGGTTAAGGGGGTAGGAGAAGAATAAATGAAACAAGATGGGATTGGGAGGGAGACAAACCATAAGTGACTCTTAATCTCACAAAACAAACTGAGGGTTGCTGGGGGGAGGGGAGTTGGGAGAAGGGGGGTGGGGTTACGGACATTGGGGAGGGTATGTGTTATGGTGGGTGCTGTGAAGTGTGTAAACCTGGCGATTCACAGACCTGTACCCTTGGGGATAAAAATATATGTTTATAAAAAATAAAAATTAAAAAAAAAAAAAAAGAAAGAAAGAAATGAATGGAAGTGGGCGTGGCTATTGACTGAATGGAAGATGGCCCCGCTAAGGTGATAACAATTTAGCAGGTGTGTGTGTATGTGTGTGTGCATGTATATATTTGCAATTATCATTTATCTTAAACTTTCCTAAGGGAAGAATAAATTAAATAGCAAAGGATTCAAGCATTCTCATTTACTCGCTCACTCTCTGTGGAGGGTCTGTGATATATGAATGTTTATGGGGAACTTTGTATGTTCAGAGTACAAACAATTCATCAACTGTACAAGTGTTCTATCATAAACTCCCAGGGTTTGGAGCCTACGTTATTCATCTGTACCTCCCTCAAGGCTCTCTTACACATGGTGGGCAGTCCAGAAATGTTCATTGTTTCAGTGCACCCTTTAACTGCTACAGTAACACATTTATTTGGGTGTTTCAGTTATAACTTTAGTAAACAAGGTGATATGACATTGATTTTGTTGACATTTTGCTTTTACTCAAAGTGCCCATCTTTGCAAATGTTCCTTATACCGGCAGTTCATTTCTAAAGTTGATTTTAATAGGTCTAACTCACAGATTTCTTCCACAAGGGACTTAATAAATTATCCAAAAGCAGACACTACCAGAAGTATGAAGTCTACAAAACTGTACACTGACAGCAATCTGTTCCCACATTTGGCATTACTAGTACTGCCTAAAAACACTGGTGGTTTCTGCTGTCGCTTAGTTTTAGAGATTTTCAAGGCAACATCTGGTCATTCAGTATACTACGTACATACTTGCACCTTCCTTCTCTCAGGTTTCCCTGCCTTGTTTCCATTTCCTTCCCAGTCTTATTTCCTCTTGTAAAAGAACATGTCTGAATGTGGGTAATACAAGTTTTTTCTAAGAGTCCTAGAATGTTGGTATTGGCATATCTTTAGAAATCTCTTCCTTACTTTTCAGCTACTTGGGTAATTACATCATCTGCTGGGTTTTATTATTCTGGGTCATATAATTGCCTTTCGGGTGTGTTGCTAATGGTGGGAAGCTGGTACTCCTCAAATCACATCCACAGTCCTCGGGTACACAGAATGACGTAAACCAGCCACTCACTGAAATGAGCGTCCTCATTGTTCATGCCGTTTTAAAATGGAAGAATGGACAATTACTGAAGTTGTAGCTATTTTGTTTAAATAAATCACTTTGGGGAGTATGAGTCACTGAGGGAGGTTTTTGCCTTGTTTTGTTTTAGTGCAGATTTCTAGATGTATCATTTCGAAATGTTCTGAGAGACGAATGAGGAATAAATTAACCAGAGTCATTACAGCAAATTGGAATCTACACATATCCCTGGTTAAAAGCTCCCAATTTAGATCACTTCTTAGGTAACAGTGAACCCTCAATTTAATATAGAAAGGTAATATTTTAAAATACACTTTTAAGGCAATCTTTGAGCTGTTGAGAATTTACTGATGCATCATCATGAATTTATTTTCCCCAAGAAACACAGATTAATGCTTTGAGATAAAAACAGCCAAGGGACATGGGAAGACATTTATGTGCCAGGAGAGAAATTGTATCTCCAGGCTACAACTATTTATCAATTTTCCTGCCACTAAAACTTACCAGCCAGTTTGTGAGCCTGAGATACAGATGAGTAACTCTATATAGAAAAATCTTCTCTTTGGGGAAAATTTACTCGGGGAAAATATTACCCATTGATGATACTTTCCCTGACATCTTCTTCACCCTTATCTGCACTCTGCACAGAGACTGTCCAACTGACCCTTTCTAATTACTGTCTCTGCTCTGTGATAAGAATCCCTAAAATCTAGAAGGAATATGGTCTTTAAAAGGAAGCTCTTCTGTTTTCATTTCCACAGATTTAGAGAAGGCTTGTTTGAGTTGGTGTTTTTTTTTTAAGACATTATACAGTTTCGTAAACCGTATTTTGTGGCCATGAGAAAAAGTACTGTATTATTCTCTCTTTTACAGGTCAAATTGAACTTTCTTACTCTCTCATCTCAAGCTTCAGGAACAAAGCCAACAGGAAAGAAGACGTAAATTAAAAAGTAGCCCTGCTGTATCGTCTGATTTAGACTCACTGCTGTTCATACGCTACTATCTGAGCGTGGGCTTCTTACCCCAAGGGAAGTCTGACAAATTTGAGGCTTTCTGAGAATGTGACTCCTATCTCCAAGGGGAAAATAAAGAGTCCAGAGCAGAAGAAAATTTCAGAGGTTTCCATTTCCTCAAGATAAGGAAGGTCGGAATAGGGTCCCCTTTGGCACTTTTAGAGGCCTAGACCTCTGTGAAGATTAGAATTCCTCAAACACTGTGTAAAGCAAATCAGTACCAAGCTATAAGGGCCCAAAATGCAACACTTACCTGTATACTTAAATTAAGAAGTTCTCTCTGGTTTGCTTTTGTCTCTTCCTTTTGCCTATAAAAATTTGGATAAGTTTATCATTACTGAGCTTTCTTCAACTGTCTGTATCCCTGCCTTGCTGGTATCTGTTGGGCAATCTGGAAGAGGCAGAGGCCTTCTTTTTCATTTATTTCATTTTTCACTCTGATTTTTTTTTTTTTTTTAATGATGTTACTTACTTTAGAGAGCAGGAGCAGGGAAGGAACCGAGGGGAGAGGGGATGAGAGAGACAATCTCCCGCAGGCTCCCCGCTGAGTGCAGAGCCTAACCTGGGGCTTAATCTCATCACTGGAGATCGGGACCTGAGCTGAAACCAAGAGTTAGATGCTTAACCGACTGAGCCACCCAGGCATGCCCCTGGCACTCATACACGTGTTTTCTATGCTCATCTCTCCTCCCAATGCTTTGCACACATACTTCCTGAACAGATGAGCAAGGGAATGGTAGTGGTAACGAAGCACTTCTTACGTAACTGGCTGATCGGACTAAGTTGTCAACAAAGTCTTCAACCTGTAATGCGGTAGGACGAAGAGCATGGCCATTCTCAAATATATGTTATTAGCACCTTCTGAAATTGCCTTTTCAAAGTTTGCTAACTTGTGAGGTTCTCTCTTCCCTCCTTGGTAGTCAATTGCCACACTTGGTTTTTGGTTTTTAATTTTATTTATTCTTTTAAGTAAACACCACCCCCAACATGGAGACTGAACTCAAGATCCCAAGATCAAGAGTCCCATGGTTTGCCAAGTGAGCCAGACAGGCGCCTCCACACATCGTGTCTCTAATTAATGAAAACAGGCTTTCTTTTATGCCATGGATACACCACCAGATTTTGGCTGGTAAATGGTCTTTCTCCTTTATCTTCTTCATGACTATAAATTTTCAGGAAATGACAAAGATTTTATTTTAGATTTTGAGTCACTGGTCTAATTTTTCCCAATCTGTATACCTAAGAGGTGGGGTGTGTGTGTGTGTGTGTGTGTGTGTGTGTGTGTGTGTTTTGAGTTTTACATTTTTAACAAATGATTAAAACAACTACTTTGACAGAATTCTTTAGCAATGTTACAAGTACCTTCACAATGTTTTAGGCCCTTTCATTTTCAAAGGATGAAAAAGCAAGCTGCTGAGAAGCGTGATCATACAAATAAAAGTATATAATATAATATATTCATTTTGGCTCATTTAAAATTTGGAAATAAATCATTTTATAAAGCCAAAAGTGTTTTTCTTTTCAGGGCCAAATTTCTGTCTGAGAGGCAAAGCTTACAATGGATGGGCTGCCTTAACCTTTAGCTATATAAAGCCAAAATAAAAATGGCTTAAGATGTGGTATCTGTAGAGTACCAGTTATCCGCTTCACAGTAAATATTTGGTTTAGTATGGCCTCTTCTGTTTAAGAAATGTACCAAGCCTAAAAGGATACATTTACTGCTAGTACAAACAGTCTGCTTACAATAAATTACATAATACTGGGCAAGGTTGGAGTGGCAGGGGTTAGGGAGAATCTATGTTCTTCTAAAAACGTGTAAGATAACTAGAATAATTCTCAATGAATCGTAAACAGGAGTATTAACATACAACTTATTACACTTAGGGCAAAAAAATCCTATTACTGATAAAACAGTACACTCAAAATCAGGGTCATGAAAACACATGCCCTTGTGTAATTTTGGCAGAGCGGCCCTGAATACAATGGACATTTTTTAATGGATCTTTTTATTAAATGGATCTCAAATTCCATTACAGTGACATCATTCATTTATACAATTTTTCACCCTGACGTTCCCCGCAGCTCTCTCAACCAGGCTGATGGAGTCTGTGTCATCGTTGCTCGGTGTTACTATCTCTGTGGGATCTCTAGCTATTGCCCTTTCTGCTTGTTCTGAGCCCAGATATCCAACTTCCAAACTGCCTTTGGCTTTTATTTACAAGTCACTGTGTCACATTCATCACAATTTCTCTTACAAACATTGGAGTCTTCCTTCAACCCTCTGCTCTCAAAATATTCCTTTGACCTGTGCCTGGGAGGCATGGCTGATAGTTTCGGTATTCCCATCAGATGGCCTCAACCTGAAGACATTCATTCTAGAAAGGACTACCTAATCCAAAACACTTCTGGTTGTGTTGGACTGTTTGAACTTAATGCGGAAATTCCAAATCACTCATTTTCTAAAAAAGTGCAACAGGCACAATCGTAAGAATCAATGTGACATTAGGAAAGTGTACAGATGTAGAACCAGATTCATTTGAGTCTGAATCCTGACATCACAATTCTCTAAGTAGGGGAGATTATTCAACTGTCTAGGCCTCAGTTTTTTTCATCTTCAAACTGTTCCTACATTACAGAGCTCTACAAAGATTGAATGGGATAATGTTTCTAAAGCCCTACCATATTTTCCTATGTATGGAGAGTCTGTTTTGGATTTATGATGAATACAGGTAACTGTTCTGTAAAAACACAATTAATTTTGCAAAACTCTGGGATCCCCCTCCCCACCCCTTATCTGTCTGTTCTCAAATAATCATCAAGTCCTCAAAGTCTGCCTGGTTACCCAGTTACAAAAATCCACCTGTTAATACCTATCTTTCCAGGCCAAATTCGGTGCCACACTCTCTCACTTCATACTTCAATTACTACAAATGAATTCTGTCTAGTTTGTACGTTCCTGAATTGGTGGAAATTTTACCAATCAGAAAAAAAATGATTTTCTAATTGTGCTGGCCCTTTACTTTTTATCCTTAATCCTACCTTCTGCCACTGCCAAATCCTCTATCTGGAGAATTGGATCAAGTGATACAAGGATGCTTCAAAGCATTTGTAAACAATAACAGAAAGAATACGACTCCCTGTCTGTAGGTACTGGTATGGTTGACACTTCTACAAAGATATAAACAGCCTTTTGCCCCTATGCTGTGTTCAGTACCAAGAAAGTGAACTCCATCAAACACAACCTTCAAGGAAATCAAAGAACTCACAATCCATATAGCAATCAATTTCCAGTTCCAAATATGCCTTTAAAAAATTCAGCTAATTTCTAAACATGTATGCTCATAGCAGCCTTCCAAATATTTCACATTATCGAACATCTAAAAATACATGGCACAGCTACATTTGTTAGAGAAACACCTAAATGATGTTCTAATTTTGCTTATCTGAACAATCTTGTTAAATAAATCCAATAAGCACCACCATTGAGCATGATGCCGTCAGATTCACTAGTGCCAGACAGTGGCTGTCAAAAAGAAATGAGTGAGCTTTTCAGTGCTTTTGAAACAAATTAAAACTACAGGCAATCTGTGTTCTATTTGAAAAATATTAAATCCACACTTTTAAACTCTACTTGTTTCTGGACCAAGGCCTCTCCAGTCCCCTGCAGTGATCTCTGAGATAACAGACTCAGGCAGGGATTTGAGAGGAAACAGAGTAGAGATCCAGCAAGTAGGGACTACAACAAAGACAAGTTTTGGAGAAGGGGGACATTCGAGTGAAGCAGGTAGTTGCTCAGTACTTGACACAGAGCGATACTCAATAAACTTTGGGTACATTCATTTCTTCTGTTCATTCTACATCCCTGGCACCTAAAATAATAACGTCCCATATGTGTGATTCAAAAATAATTATGGAGTGAACGCCTGACTCTTGAAGGGGCACTGACAGCGGTGAAGATCCTTCCTGAACAGGGGTCTTAGGGCAGCAACTCACACAAGATCTGTGGTGGATTTTCCTGGCAGGGGTCTGGGGTATGCGATCGGATCCTTAAGTAGAGAGTGCTTGCTAAATAGAGATTTCCTGTTTAGCTTTCCACGCTTTAAAGATTCATAGACAGATTTCACAACCTCCAGACGACTTGAGCTACCAAATTTAACTCTATTATTTAACCCTCTTCTCAGGAAGTTTTGCCCGGTATCTCACGCACATCGATTTACAGTTTAATCCCTTCTTCCCTTGCTTCCAACTCTGAGGAAATCGTTACTTCTACGGTGCTTTCATCTGCTGTGAATGGAGTAACCGTTTGTTCTCTTTTCTCCAGGCTAACTTAAATATACTTTCATGCCTCAGCTATTATTTCTAACCCTTTAATTATCTTTGTTGCCCTTTGAATGTTCTCCAGGATTTTAACGTCTAAAGTCTTGAAGCCCAAGCTTGGACATAATATGCGGAGACTGGCTGGTGGGGACTAACACTGAATGATTCCTGGAGGGTCACCTCAGGCTTCCTGTTCCAGGCTATGTGGACCCGTATCGGCTTCCGTTGCTGTTTCCATCATTACCTGCTCCGTTTGCAAGTTCATAATTTCTGAGACAGTCATCTTTCAAATTGAGAGTCCATAGACCTACTGAAAAAAATGGTCATTTTTTCAGCTTCTGTCCGGAAGTCATTACGTATGAATCAACACTAATTCTTCTCTTTATTGCAAATGCCTTGCAGTTTTAGCCCAGTGCTGGGTAAACACGAACAGTGCAAATACAGCGTTAGTATCTGACTGCAATCCACACTCACTCCCGTTATCCATCGTCTCTCCATCCCCAAATGTGCTCCTTGTAAGTTCTCTTGAGTCTCCAGACGACTGTGTTACTTGAAGGAACCAATCACTTCTAGTCTATCTTCTCTCTAGTACCTACAGCTAATTTCTTCCAATTCCTGCAGTTCAACACTTGCACGTCCTAGTGAGTTTACCTCTTGAATATGGCACGTCCTCTCTATGGCACTAGAGAGCCTGAGCTCAGATTCTCAGCATCTCTAACCTGGACGGCTCACAGTAGCTTTTGGTTTCTCTTCCTCAAGTCCTCATTCTCCCCCACCCACCTTTGTTGGAAGACTGTCGTGTCATTTTCTGCCCTTAAAAAAAAGGGTGGGGGGGACGCCTGAGTGGCTCAGTGGGTTAAGCCTCTGCCTTTGGCTCAGGTCAAGATCCCAGGGTCCCGGAATTGAGGCCCGCATCAGGCTCCTTGCTCAGCAGGGGGCCTGCTTCTCCCTCTGCCTGCTCTGCCGCTTCTGCCTCCAGCTCTCTGTGCTT